AGCCTTTCTGCTCCTATGATGCTGCTTGGCCTGCTGTGTTCATCCAGCCCTGCACCTTGTTGTCTCACTAATGTCTTGTACTGTGGGGCAAAGTCAATACTCAACTTGACTTTCTGATTAGCTGCTGGACCTACCTGTTAACCTTTTAACGAATCATAAATAAGGACACCCAGAATAAACTATTGCAAACCTTTTACTGAATTATGAATACCAATACCCAGATCATACTACATTTAGAGCATTCCCCAGTGTCTCTCTATTTAAATAAGATTTAAGGTTTTACAGACTTTCTTCTAAAGGTATCTCATTTTCCCCACATTAAACCCTGTTTATACTCAGTATATACCTCTGTTTCCCCCTCACAATTCGCTTTCCTACCTATTTTTGCATCAAAATTGGCTACAATGCAGTTGGACCCTTCATCGTAGTCATTAATAGAGAGCCTGTAGTGACTGTTTTTGCATTTCTTGCTAGTTTTCTCTCATACTCTAATTTCTCTATTTTGTTTTAGTCTCCATTTATTTGCTTCCAGAACTTTCCAAATTTTCTGAACTACCACTAATCTTTGAAGCATTGTATATTTTTGATATTATCCTCAACTTCCTTAAACAGCCACAAATGTTACATCCTTCTCGAGATGTTCATTCTAAATGGAATAAAGTTAGTTATAAAATGTCTCCTTATATATCTGCTACTGATTCTCCACTATCTTATCTTTTGACCTACTTTCCCATTACACTTTTGCAAACTGTACCTCCATACCCCTGTAATTGGTTTTAAGATCAGATTTAGAGTCATATTTCTCACCTTCAAATTGAATGTGGAATTCTATCATGTTACGATCACCCTTCTCTTAAAAGTCTTATGCTATAAAAGGTCATTAATTAATCCTGTTACATTAAATTTTACTCCTAAAATACGCTGTTCCCTGCTTGGTTCCAGAACACATTGTTCCCAGAAAAATTGTTCCAAATCCACTCTATAAACTCATTGTCCAGGCTACATTTGCCAATTCGATTTATCGACTTAATTGAAAATTAACATTTCCCATGACTATTGCAGTACATTTTGTAAACTGGATAAGCACAAACTAATTTTTGGCATGTTTCTTAATGCATGGGTAATAATAACTGGTTAACTACATTAAACTGAAAATTGCCATTATGGCTAACAGCACAATTCAAGTATGTTCCCTTATAGTGAAAAACCTCTAAAACAAAAACATTCTTAAAAAACTCTCTAAATGAGGGATATCTGCAAAGGTTAAAAAAAAAACTAACAGTAGACAGGAAAAGACTGTTCCCTTTAGCAAGTGGCTTAATTAGAGATCACAGATTTTAAAAATCATCTGTCACAGAACTGGTGGGGAGGAAAGAGGAGAATTTATTCACTTACAGGTACAATAAAACGACAGTGGAGTTGTTCTATAAATAAAATCGAGACAGTTTAATAGGTACTTCAGGAATGAGGAATTTGCAGTGCAGGGTTACAGACAAATAAAAGGGGAAGTCTTCCAAGCAATCAGCACAGACACAGCAGCTAAATGGCTCCTCTGTCCTGATAGCGACTATGATTTGGTGAAGAGTGTTTTTAAATCCCCAAATGGCTATTTGGGAACAATTCAAGAAGAAGAAAAAGCCTTGGCAATCCAGTTCCTACTAAAGCCCATCCCCATAGTATCCCTTATTTCTTTGCTGCAACCTACTCCTCTCGTATCATTCTCCCAAATCGCATCCCACCAAAATGTACCCTCACTCCCCTGAACATCACCATTTCCACCTTGCAGTCCATCCTACAGTATACACATGGCACCTTTGAAATACCCTCGTTTCCAAAGTTTCTCAAAGCCCCATTTATTTCCAAGGAAGGCTCTTTTCTCAAGCACCACCACTCTCCCATAACCCAGTACTGTCAACTCCTCTACCCCACAAGTACTCTATTTTACTTTCCCACTAAAGCCCTTTTAGAGTCACAGAGACAGACCCTTCGGTCCAACTCGTCCATGCCGACAAGATATCTTTAATAAATCTTGTCCCATTTTCCAGCATTTGGCCCATATCCCTCTAAATCCTTTCTATTCATAACCATTCATTCCCATAATTGTAGATGAACTCCCTAACTTAAACTGAGCACAGTCCCATTATCCTTGTACACTCACCTATCAAGATCCCCAACACACTTGTAAAATCTCTTTGGTGAGCATTTCTAAACATACATTTATTATTTTACCTTCCTTTTGAATCTCATTATTTTAATAGTCAGTGTGTCAGATCCTGCCCTGTCCAGACGCAGCTCATTTCTCTCATACCAATGTAGTTTTCTTTAAATTTAATTCGTCATCTATCCAATCATTCCCATAATTGTAAGTGAACTCCCTAACTTTACCAGAGCTCAGCCCTAGACAGCTGTCCTTTTACTTTACAAAATTGCTTGAATCAATATTTCACCAGCTCAGTTTCTTTCCCATATAGTCCATAATCAGCTCTACACCAGCCATTCAAGCTCTCCTCAATATTTTTAAACTGAAGGCCATCCATTCTATGCTTGAACCACTGTGCTTTTTTGTGCTCTATTAGTCTATTTTCAAAAAAAGTGAAAGTATGTAAATTAAAGAAATAAGATAATATAAGAAAATATTGTGCTTGAAAATAAATTTGCTCTTCCCAGTTTACATAAACCACCCAGGACAGGGAGGCACAAGAGGGTAGGGACTAAACAGCAAATATTATATAAGAGAATTCTCAAAATAAATTGATTACTTAGCCATTAAATCTGTGCAGAAACGATTGGAGGCACATGGTTACAACAATCGCATCACATCAAAGTTCTTGGAAATTGCGTGTAAAAGAACGTTGCTCTGTGCTTTTGATCTTTGACCATGACTTGAAGCAAGGGAAGTTTGTTCTAATGTAGTAAAACAAGTAGCATTGATGGTGTGCAGTCACCATATCAATTAACTCACCTGCCATGCAGGAGCTAAGTTCTCCTTCACCAGCTGGTCTAATCCACAGCGTTCGAGTTCACGCTGCTTGTATTTATGATATTGATAGTATCCCATGTATCCACCACCTGTCACCACCAACAAGTGCAAAGGACGGACCCGAGTCACAATTCCAAAAGTGATCATCTGCAGAATCCGGTGATCTGCTTGGACCAAAAACAAGTGAAGATTAGATTAGCCTACCAACAGACAGTCTCATCACTTGTACCGTACAATGACTTTGCAAGGTTCATACTGTTTTCATAAACACAAGTAGCATAATTGTTTTTGACTTCCCAAAATGAAGTTAGAGCTGAAAGGAGCAAATTGAATGATATAACACAGACAGACAACAGCAAGTCAGGGAACAAAGTAACTCAGAAGAATTAAACTGAATTTATTTCAATGCAAGGGGCCTTAAAGGTAATGCTGATGAACTCAGGGTATTTTTGGGAACATGGGATTGGGTCATCGTAGCTATTACAGAAACTGGCTGAGGGATGGACAGGGCTGCTCAATAGTCCGAGTTTCAGGTGCTATATAAAAGACAGAAAGGGAGGCAAAAGAGGAAGGGAAGTGGCACTTTTGATTAAGGAAAACATTACTGCTGTAACTAGTAGATATTTCTGAAAAATCATCCAGTGAAAATATGAGTAGAAATTAGAAATAAGAATAGAATGATCACCTTGATGGGATTGTACAATAGACCCCCAACAGTCAGAGGGAAATTGAGGAACAAATATGTAGGGCTATCTCAGATATATGTAAGAATAATAAAGGTCGTAATAGTAGGCAATTTTAATTTTTCAAATATTAACTGGGAATAACATAGCATTAAATGTTAGAATGTGAGGAATTTATTAAGCGTGTTGAAGAACATTTTCTTTATCAATACGTATGTGTTCCTACCAGAGTAGGAGTGAGACTTGACGTTCTCTTGGGTAATACGGCAGGGCAAGTGACTGAAGTGATAGTAGGGGAACACTTTGGGTCTGGTGATCATAATTCTATTAGTTTTAAAATAATTATAGAAAAGGATAAGCCTTCCATGAAAGTTTTTAATTGGAGTAAGGTCAATTTTAATAGTACAAACAAGAATGTTCAAAAGATGGAGATAGTAAGAACTGCAGATGCTGGAGTCAGAGATAACACAATGTGAAGCTGGAGGAAAAGGCTTCTGAAGAAGGGTCTGGACTCAAAACGTCAACTTTCCCGCTCCTCTGATGCTGCCTAGCCTGCAGTGTTCCTCCACCTCCACATTGTGTTATAACTTTCAAAAGTTGATTGGAGTAGACAGTGACATCTGATAAGTAGGAGGCTTTCAAAAGTGTGATAACAAGAGTTCAGAGTTATTATGTTCCTGTTAGAGTGAAGGATAAGGCTGGTAGGATTAAGGAACAATGGTTCTAGACAGGAATAAGAAAGAATCACATTTTAAATATGGACAACTGGGTTCGAATGAATCTCTTGAACGGTATAAAGTGCAGGGACATTCTTGAGGAGGAAATCAGGAGGGCAAAGACAGGATATGAGCTAACCTTAACCTTATCTGCCAAGGCTATTCTAAAGTGATTCAACGAGTACATTAAGGTCAAGAGAGCAACCAGAGAGGGTGTAGGGTCCCTTAAAGATCAAAGAGGTCGTCTTTGTGTTGAACCTCCTGAGATGGGAGAGATATTAAATGAATATTTCGCATCAGTTTTTACTGTGGAGAAAGAAATGGAGACGAAAGAACTCCGGGAAATAAACATTGATGTTTTGAAAACTGTTCACATTTCAGAAGAGGTCCTAGAAAATACAAAAGTGGTTAAACCTTTGGGATCTGATCTAGTGTATCCCAGGACATTGTGGGAAGTAAGGGAGGAAATTCCGAGGCCTGTTGTAGAAATATTTATCTCATCTATAACTATGGGTAAGGTGCCAGATGACCGGAGGGTGGCTGATGTTGTGCCTTTGTTTAAGAAAGGCTATAAGGAGAAGCCTGGGAACTACAGGCCCAAGTCGGACATTGGTGGTGGGTAAATTGTTGGAGGTGATTCTGAAAGATAGGATTTATATGCATTTGAAGAGGCAAAGAATGATTAGGGATAGTCAACATGGTTTTATGCGTGGAAAATCATGTCTCACAAACTTGTTTGAGTTTTTCAAGCATGTAACCAAGAAGATTGATGACGGCAGAGCAGATGTTGTTTACTTGGACTTTAGCAAAGCCTTTGACAAGGTTCTACGTGGTAGACTAATTAGTAAAGTTAGATCGCATGGGATTCAGGATGAGCTTGCCAACTGAATTCAAAATTGGCTTAACAGTTGGAGACAGTGTGGTGGTGGAATGAGGTTGTTGACTTGCTCCCCGAGTTGGCTTGTTTTCGTTCAGACGTCTCGTCACCAAGCTAGTTGACATCACCAGTGAGGCCTCCGATGAAGCAATGTTGTTCTACTCTGCTTGGAATTTACTATCTATATACTAGACTATATACTAGATATAGTATATATACTATATACTAGAGGCCTCACTGATGATGTCACCTAGCATGGTGACGAAATGTCCGAATGGAAACAAGCCAGCTCGGCGAGCAAATCAACAACCTCACCCACAACCTGAGCTACAAATCTTTGCTAAAACTTTAAACACTTGTGGTGGTGGTATGTTGTTTTCCAGATTGGAGGCCTGTGACCAATGGTGTTCCATAGGGATTGATGCTGGGTCCACTTTTGTTTGTCATTTAGATGAGAATATAGAAGTCGTTGTTAGTAAGTTTGCGGATGACACCAAAATTGGTGATATAGTGAAGATTATCTAAAATTACAAAGAGATCTTGATCAATTGGGTCAATGGGTCAAGGAGTGGCAGATGGAGCTCAATTTGGATAAATGCAAGTTATTGCATTTTGGTAAAACAATCAATGGCAGAACTTATACAATTAAAAGCAGGGCCTTGGGTAGTGTAGTTGAACAGAGAGACTTAGGCGGTCAGGTACATAATTCTTTGAAGTTTGCATCACATTTAGACAGGGTGGTTAAGGCATTTAGCACACTTGCCTTCACTGCTCAGACCTTTGAGTATAGGAATTGGGACATCACATTGAGGTTGTACACGATGTTGGTAAGAGTCTTCTGGAGTACTGTGTTCATTTCTGGTTGCCTTGTTAAAGGAAGGAGATTATTAAGCTGCAGAGGGTTCAGAAAACATTTATCAGATGTTGCTGGGAATGGAGGGTTTAAGTTCACAAGAGAAGTTAGACAGGCTGGGATTTCTTTTCCACTGGAGCGTAGCAGGTTGCCGGGTGACCTTATAGGGATTTATAAAACCATGAGGGATATAGATAAAATGAATGGCAGGTATCTTTTCCCTAGGATAGGGGATTTCAAGACTGGGGGCAAATTTTTAAGGCGATAGGAGAAAGATTTAAAAAAGATATGGGACAATTTTTTTTATACAGACTGGTTTATGCGTGGAATGAACTTCCAGAGGAAATGGTGGATGCAGGTACAGGTACAACATTTAAAAGACGTTTGGATAAGCACATGAATAAGAAATCTTTGGAGGGATATATGTCAACTGCCGGCAGGTGGGACTCATTTCGCTTGGTATCATGGTTGGCACAGACTGATTGGAGCAAAGGGTCTGTTTCTGTGCTGTATGACTCTGACTATAACTCTATAACACAGGAATGAAGGAACAGTCAGTTATATAGAGTCATACAGCACAGAAACAAACCCTTCAGTCCAACCAGTCCATGCTGAACATAATCCCAAACTAAACTAGTCCCACCTGCCTGCACCTTGCCCATATCCCTCCAAACCTTTCCTATTCATGTATTTATCTAAGTGTCTTTTAAACACTGTAATTGTACCCACATCCACCGCTTCCTCAGGAAGTTCATTCCACAAGCAAACCATACTGTAAAACAATTTTCCCCGGTGTCCTTTTTTTCCAATCTCTCTCTTCTCACCTTAAAAATATGCCCCCTAGTCTTGAAATCCCCCATCCTCAGGAAAAGACAAAACCAGTAACTCTATCTCTATATCTCTCATTATTTTATAAACTTCTACAGGGTCACTTCTCAACCTCCTATGCTCCAGTGAAAAAAGTCCCAGTCTATCCAGCCTTTCTTTATAACTCAAACCATCCACACCCAACAACATCCTGGTAAATCTCTTCTGAACCTTCTCCAGCTTAGTAATATCCTTCCTATAACTGGGCAACCAGACCTGGGCACAGTACTCCAGAACAGGCCTCACCGATGTCCTCGTACAACCTCAACACGACTTCCCAACTTCTTTACTGAAAGGACTGAGCAATGAAGGCAAGTGTGCCAAATGACTTTTTAACCACCCTGTTTATATGTGACACAAACTTCAAAGAATTATGTACCTGCACCCCTAGGTCCGTCTGTTCTACAACACTACCCAAGGCCCTACCATTAATTGTATGAGCTCTAGCCTTGTCTGTTTTACCAAAATGCAATACCTCGCATTTGCCCGGATTGAACTCCATTGCCATTTTTCAGCCCATTGGCCCATTTCATCAAGATTCCTTTGTAACCTTCAAAAACCTTCTTCACTGTCTACCAAGCTACCAATTTTGGTGTCGTCCGCAATCTTACAACAATGCCTACTATATTCTCATCCAAATCATTTATATAAATGACGAACAAAAGTGGACCCAGAACTGATCCCTTTGGAGCACCAACGGTGACAGTCCTCCAGTCTGAAAAGCAACTCTCCACCACCACTGTCTTCTGCCATTAAGCCAATTATGTATCCAATTGGCAAGGTCACCCTAAATCCCATGTGACCTAACTTTACCAGGTAGTCTACCATGGGGAACTTCCAGTCATCAGGCACCTCACCCATAGTTATAGATGATACAAATATTTCTGCAAGGGGTCTCACAATTTCCTCCCTTCCTTCTCAATGTACTCAAAGATCAATATTGAGCTAAATCATTGAGATGTTTCTGAGCTTTGCAGCAACCACACATGATATTGTGCAGAGCTCTAATTGCCACAGCATAAAAAGGATACATTAGATCAGGTCCCAGAGATTTATCCACTTTTATATTCTCTAAGACCTCCCAATTGCCACAG